CAGGACTCTTGCGTCCCAAGGGGGGGGCCCGGGCCCCCTCGGCCCCCCCCCCTGCGTACGCCACTGTTGCCGACCCTCCGTATCCTCACTATATAGTCAGAATGCACTACCTTGCTCTTATTCTAGAGTTACACAGAACTCTTTGCTAAAAATATCGGGGATCAGGATCACAAAAATCTTTAAGAGAAGGATTTTAAACTGAAACTTTGCCCACAACTAGTTTTCATCACTATCAATTTGTCGTGAAATTTTCAGTCAAAAATGTATCGTTTATTCTCGATAATATTGCATGTGGAAGAAATTAGCAAAAAAGTGCCCTCTCTTTAACATTTTGTATTTTCTGAAGTAAAGCGTATTTGTTGCTGAAAATTTCAGCACAATATAAACAGCACATTAGCTATTTATGGGTGATCTGTCCAGCCAAAATTGTATTGTTTTGACTTTTAATGTCATATATCCTCCATTGTATCTGCATGACAGAATTTTGCGTTGACAGAATGTTATAAAATTTTCCGGATGATCTGATGAAATAGGTTAAGATTGTATGTGATGATATCTTTAAAAAAGAAAAAATGAGCATGATCTTTTTTCAAATAAACAAAAATTTGAGAAAATATAGACGATTTTTAAAAATCCTAAGTATCAAAAAGTCTCTCGTTCCTTTTAGGAGTCAACTCAAAATTATTTTTCTATTTCTATATGATCGCTAAGATCATCTCAATTAAGATAAACTTCGGTTTTTGCATATTAATTATCCTAGTGGATTTTATTGTAGTTAGACCGATGTTCCTTGGAAGGGACATTCGGCTTTTAACGATTAATAGACAAAAAGAGAGACATTTTTTTGATAGAATTTTAATAATGTATTTTAGTCGATATTAGTCTAGTCTAGTCTAGTTTAGTGTTGCAGAAAAAACCCGTATAACCTAATGTACGAATGATATGATAAATGATTTATTAGTTAGGACTGTTTTTATGAATAAATTTTTCTTCCTTCTTGATTTAATGTTAATAATGTTAAAATAAGTGATAGAATTTAATTAATTCTTCTAATCATATATTTTAATTATATCAATAAAATGTTTCGAGGTAAATCAATTGACAAATCGTTCTATGTGTCTTTTTTGTTGTTGCAATTGACGAACTCTTTTAATATTTGAAAGATTTATTTCACTTATTATTATTGATCAGAAATTCTCGTAGTTTTTTTTTTTTTGTTGTTGCTTGTTGATCGACGATATAAATTATGGTTAAAATAATTATCCTTTTGTAAAATTTGCCTAATCAGATATATAGATAAATGATGTTTTATCCTAAAAATAAAATTTTGAAAATAATATTTCGAAAAAGAGTCGGATCGATAGATATTATTAAGTTGGTTAATATTATTGTTCATATTGATTTAAAAATATTCTTTGTTACATACTGATTTTCTTAAAGGTATAATGTAAAAATTTATTGAGAATATTCGATATATAATTTTATATAATATATCTTGAGATTATATTTGACTAAATAATCATCTTTTAACAAATATTCTTTTAAATTAAATCAATAAAAACAAAGTCTAATCGAAATTGAAATTAAAATAAAATTTATTGTTTAATATTTTTTTGTGATAAAATGAAAAGAATAAAATAATGCCTGAATAAAGATATAATATTTATTTTATTTAATAATTTTTAATTTGAAATAAAGATTTAAGTGAAAGAAAATTCACCGTTTAAACGAGATGATACAAACAAATGATGAAACAACTAACAACTAACAATTAACAACATATAACTATTTGTTCTGTTTAGTAGGATTTTTGTTAATAAATCAATGACAATTATAATTAGTACATAAATCTCGTTCTTTAAATACATCAAAAGATGTTAAGATAAATATGAAAAGAGCTCCAATAAAAGCTCCAGCTTGTGTTAAAAGTCCATACCAAAAAAGACCTCGATGACCTGATGTTTTATTAAAATAATTTCCAAGAACAATTCGTTCATAGTAAAATATTAAATAAACAAGTGCCCATAAAATTGCCTAAAAGATGATAAGAGATTATTTTTTGTTTTTTTTGTTTATAAATAAAATAATTCTATTTATAACATACAATTATATATTTTCCTATCCATTCATCAACATATGGTGAACATGGTGATAAATAGGCTTTTTAAATTAAAATTAAATTAAAATTAAATTAAAATTAAATTAAATAGAAAAAAAAAATACCTGTTAGAAATATATAAAAAAAAGCCAAAGTTCCCGAAATTGTTGAAATAATAATTCCGATAGTTGATACATTAAATAATTTTGGAGAAAGTGAAGCAATTAATGAAACAAATGGATAACAACATTGACCTTAAATAAATAAATTAGTTATATGAAAAAAAAAAAAATCCATATGAATTTAATATACATAATATAATAACATAATGAAAAGTTGAAGCTCCATATGGATTAAGTGAATATGAATTAATTGATGGAATACATCCAATTAAAAGAACACTTGTCCAAAGTATAATTATTAAATAAATAATTGTTTTTCTTGTAAATTTCTCTTGTTTATTATCATCATCATGTTGAACAATAATTTCATCATTATTAACAGCTAATAATGAACTATGAGTATTTTCACCAATAATTATTTGTTCAGCTTGACTTTTAACTTTTTTTTCTTTTTGAGTTTTCCATAAAAGAATAAATGCAATAAATGATATTAACATAATTATACTAAGACAAATTAAATATGTTTGAACAGAAAATCGAGCTTCATGATGTTGAGCTATCATTATTGTAGAATTTTTAGATATTGGAATACATTCACTTTGTTGACCAACACCCTTTATA